ATCCTACCAATTAGTCTAAAAGACTCTATAACATGCTTGAATGTTTAACAATATAGTACAATTATGAAGGACTAAAAAATGATTAAACTGTATTTGTTTTTTAATAAAAGGTAATGGACAATAATGCAGTGTTTTAAATTAAAGTCCCATTTCCTTTTATAGTCATTAAAATAAAAAGAAATATTTGGTTACACATACAAGGCCATGAAATTCAGATTTCTAATAGATTTATTTCTTCCTTCTATCGTTATTAATATTTGGGATGCAAACAAAGACATTATTTTAAAGGAATGTTTAAAGAAACACCATATTGTTATGTAATTTTTTTCTATAATGTTTTTCATTTACTTTTGCAAACTAAATTCAGTTTGATATCAATATAATAAAACAGACCAATTCAATATCCACAGAGAAGAGCTATGATAATTTAAATACTGAATAACAATCTTTACTAGAGCTAGAACTAAGTTCTCCACATGAGGATATAGCTATAAGGTCAAACTGGCTAAAAGAAAAACCAGAAATTAAAAAAGAATAGAATTGCTTAAATATTCTAAATATTAATGAGATTCTGCATACAGTACAAGTCACTATAAATAGAGCAGGAAAATATAGTCAATCTTGTGTTTATAAAATGCATGTTTCCTTCATCTGTGATATTGACTCTATTAGGCCAAGCAATGTTCTTGATCATTTAATTATTTAATATTTCATTTGTTGTTTTTATTTTATGTGTACGGGTATATTGCCAGCACGTATATAAGTGCACCTGTGTCATGCAATGCCCATGGAGATCAGAAGAGGGCATTGAAACCCTGCAACTGGAGTTTGTGCTTCCTCACTTAGTGGAAATGTACTATAAGCTTCTGGGTACATATTTCATTTTCACCTGTGGAATACTCGAATAATCAAGGCTTGCTTTCCATTCCAAAACAAATAATGGAGTACACTTAATAATGACTATGAAAAATGGTCTAAGCCCTGAATCAGAGTACACTGTCCGAAGATGTTTCAGATTTACAGACCTGCACTCTGGATTCTGTCAGAAACAATCTCCTTGCTAGGCCCTTCCTGTGGAATGAGGGGAATGCCGAGTTGTTAGATGGATACAGCATAAAATTTCAATTTGGCAAGATAAAGAAATTTCTGGAGATGGGTTAAATACTAACAAGAAAACACTTGAAGATCCATGCCCTGCAAAACTGACAGCGCTTTAGAGATCTACTTAAAGACAGAGAGCTCTAAGTATAAAGTGCTTTATTCTATAAATCATTTATTTCTTTCCATTGGGCTACAAGTAATTAACGAATTACTTAAATCATGCAGACTAGAGTTTGGGACGTAGTAGAGTGGTACAAGGACTTCCTTCAGGCATGAGAACCTTAGTTCAATCCCCATTTCAGAGACTGACAGGGTGAGTAACCAGGAAGAGAGTGAGAGGTAGAGGCAGATGGAGGGAGAGAAAGAAAGACATCAAATAGAAAACAGAAGAAAAAAATGAAAGAAGGGAGGGGGAAAGGAAGGAGGGAAAGAGGACAAGGGAGGGAGGGACGGAGGGACCAAAGAACTGAGTGGCACCAAGCAGTTTCTGGACTGGATTTATTTCAACATTGCTTGAAAATACTGGAGCTGATCTCATAAAGTAGACCTCCCACACACAGTACCAAGGAAAGCAAAGGTCCTATCCCATCAGGCTCCAAAGCGGGAGAGCGGGGAGGAGGAGCGCAGAGAAGGCAATGCAAAACGATTGCATAGACATGGACGACTGAAAACTGGAGGGGTCTTAAACAAGCAACATACCTTGTGATCGCATTAGGATACTGATTTTTTTCGAAAGCAATTTCCAGTCAGTTTACCTGCCAGGCTGTCAGACCAAATTGGATCCACGGCCGCCTGCGCTGGGGATGTGGGACACTGGCAGCCTCGTTCTTCTCCAGCTCTGGCTCATCCTTGATGTCACCACCAATGTAGCTCTAGTCGAGGACTTGGTTTACATCATCCTTGAGACTTGGCATGCCCCGGTACTTCATAAAGTCTGTGCCGCCTGGATCCCTTTTATCAACGTGGCCCTTCTTGGCTTCTGCCTTCTCCTGTCCACTTCAAGTATCACCTCCAACTCACTCAGCTTTGAGCTATAGAAACTTAGGCCATAACAATATTTTTTGTGCACCATGGCCTTGCCAGAAAAGCTGCAGAGGAGACATTGGTTGCCTAGGGTTGAAACTGACCTCAACTGAGCATTCAGCGAATTTTCAGTCTGCCCGCCTTCCTTCCCACGAGGGCTAATGGCTCTCTGTTATGACAGGAGCAATAAGGCATGGCTAGGAAATGCCTTAAGAGGGTGCCTCTAAGGAGCTTGCGTACAGTGCACCTAATTTGGAGCTCAGCTATGTGAGTAAGCCCACCAAAGGCCACCTAAACACACAGGAAATCTGAGCAAGGACCTGGAGGGGATTGCAAGCTGTTTGGGGAAGAGGTCAAGAACTCACACTGAGCACTTGATTCCTGGGTGAACATTTGGAGAAATCTTCAGAAAGCCAACATCCATATTTCATTGTGTGCACGTGACAGTAGTTGCGAAGTAAGTGGATATGGTCAGCTCAGTAATTGCTTGCTCCGAGGTTCTGCAAGGACATCCAAAAAACTGTCCATCCACTGTACTCCACTGGCAGCAGCAACATCTTAGATTGGAGTTTGCACAGCATTCTCAGGGACAAGAAACTACAAGAAAGCCTAGGACACTCTTAAGAATGTTTAGATACCCAGATTTTTGGTAGTGAATCTGTGTCCTATTCCTTGTCAGTGCTTGTCACATCTGAAAGTGCTGACACTCCATGGGGTCCTACCCTCTTTGTGCCATAGTTAGGTACACCACTCAAAATTGAGAGAGCTTTCATATAACTCCTGGACCAGAGTATGCACTATACACATTAAGGAAAAAGGGCATACGAAAAACTTTGAGGCCAGGTAATTTCAGAGTAGTGCTCTCAAAGAATTGTTTTCTGTATGCTAAAGGGGGGGAATTGGAATAGAAACCCAGGGTCTCATGAAGATGTAATAATATTCCGGGAAGGGGAGGTGCTCAGTGGTTAAGCACATTGACTGTCGTTGTAGAAGACCCAGGTTTGAATCCCATCACCCACATGGCAGCTAACAACTGTCCTTAACTCCAGTTTCAGAGGATTCCACAGCCTCTTCTGCCCTCCGAGGGCATTGCACAGCACGAGTGCACTTACCTACATGCAGCAATACATGCATACACATAAGATAAAAATAAGAAATAAAATATACCAAAAGAAAATGCAATAACGTCCAGCGTGGTGATGGACACTTCAATCCTTGCACTCAGGAGGTAGAGCCAGCCAGATCTTGGCCAGTCTGCTCTCTGTAGCAAGTTCCAGTTCAGCTGGGGCTAGTGGGAGTCCATGTCTCAAAAACAGAAAACCAAAAGACAGGCAGGCAGATAGAAAGAAACAAAGGGAGAAAGAAGGAGAAAAAGAAAGAAAATCAATGCAATCTCCTCTTTTTGCGCATCCTTTTTCAATATTCGAATGATAGAGCTGTGTAATAGCAGGACAGACAGTCAGATTCCTAAGAATGTTATTCCAGGGACGAAGCGCTTCATGTTGGAGATGTGAAAAATCAGTGCCCAGAAATACAACGGCCGTGTCAAAAACACATAGCATTAAGCAGGCAAATAAGAGTTTTAAATTTCTTTTTGTACCTGTCAGGGGGGAAAGAAGAGTGGGAGAAGGAAAAAGGGAGAACCCACAACACCCGGTGGCAACAGCCCTCATATTCTCCTTGTGCTTCTGTCTCCCAGGTGCCCAATAGCCATAGAATCCTCCTGGAACTGTCCTGCATCCACTCTGCGATTCAGATTTCCTTGGGTAAGCCTGGGAATGCCAGGGGGGAGGGAGGTCAGCACACGTGGTATACCTGCAGAACGCTCACTTGAGAAATAGGCCCTGCCAGGGCCACACGTGGAAGTCTTGTACTAGGAGAGACAGCCTCCCCTCCTCCACAACCCTCCATCTCCCTACTATTTTCCACTGTTTCCACTGAAGGACAAAATCTTATTACCCATTTTTTTTTTGATACCAGGGCTGCATGCATGCAACGTGCTTTCTAAGTGAAATTGACTGTTTACCCACTTTAACTCCAAATTGGGGCTTGGACCAAGAGAGATGAGACCCCCCCTGGGGTACCACCCCATTTCAAAATCCATCTCTTTTTGCCTTCTCCTAGTTGCCTGTAAATAGACCATACACATAGATCAGTTTCTCTTGCCCTTCCCTTCTGCTCCTGGCAACTGCCCACCAGTCTTGCCTGATCCCAGAAAGAGCTACCTGTCACCGTGCCAGACCCCTGCACCTGACCCCTAGTAGACACAGGGGGACAGAGCCGGGTGGTAGGGCCTTGATGTGTTTCCAGGCTCTGCTGGCAGCATCTCTGGCCTGCCCTTGTATGTAATATGTATGTACGTACATACGTACATACGTGTGTGTGTGTGTGTGTGTATTGTTCTGTGTTCCTGTAAAGAAAAAAAGCAACTCAAGTGGGCTGTAAAATGCTCCTAAGCAGCATGAGCCTGGAGATGCCAGGCTCCAGTTTCAATAATTTGGCACAGGTCACAGCGGGGCATCTACATCAGGGTTACTTGTGTAAGGGCCTGAAGACCAGCCAATCCATAGGGCCCATGCTGGGCCACCACTCTGCCTGCCACTCCTGGTCTTATCCTAGGAGTATAGTGGCCTCACCCAGCTGCGGGGTGGCTTCAGTTCAATTTCATTTGTTAAACAGGCTGCTGCTGTTTCTTAGTGATCTGAACAGAAATCTTCAGCCTCTCCTCACATAGGAATTACGCTTTTTTGGCTGCACAAGAAGACCCTGTCTCAAAAGGACAAAACAAAAGAAAGAAAAGAAAAGAAGAGAAAGGAAATGAAAAGAAGAAAGGGAATGAAAAGAAGAAAGGAAAGGAAAAAAGAGGCAAGGGGGG